GATCAACACAAAACAGAATGGTGCCATCACTGGCAGGTCAAGGAGCAGATGTGAATGATGCATTAAATACTTCCTATGCTCCCATATTTTCCAGAACACATTGACCATTTTGCATAACTTAGCTTATAWGGATTTTTAGCCTGAACTCTTAAATCTACTGCAGCTTGTAAAACCAGCATCAAGAATTGCAATGTTCAGTCTATAGGCAAATATAACTATGCTTGAATGCATTCACCAACATATGATGTATTTTGTGTGGGTTATTGCATGCTTCTTTCAAATCTTCTCTGATTCTTTCAGGACACATAYACKCTTGGATAATGAAAATTCACAACCTTACCACATCTTACCTCTCCCATTGAGCAAACAAAAGCCTAGCAAGGACAGAAAATAAGACTGACCAAATAGTAATTTCAAGTGCTATGTACTCCTTCTTACTCATTCATTAACATAAGATTATCACAGCATGGACTCATGTTTTCTTCCAAATTGTAATGATCTTGCTTCCTGTTTAGACTCACTTAACATCCCAAGGGCACAAATTATATTGTTGCTTCTCTTCATCTCTATACATGAGATGAAGAGCTGTCTAATGAATTTACATTCTTCTTGAGCTATTATATTTTAATTATCTGTTAATGAATGTAAATCAGCAGTTGTGTAAGGCAAACAATTGATGGAGAAGGTTACAGAGTCTCAATTGTTTGGGGAAATCCATATATAGCGCTGGCATAAATTAAAATAATAAAGGGGTCTTTTTTTTTTTTTTTTTTTTTNTTTTTTTTTTTTTTTTTTAATTGTAAAATTACTGTGACCTGCAAAGTTACATGGTATCTACAGACTGCAAGAAAATGAGATCAAATAATCTGAGAAAGTGTGGAATAATCTTATTTACTGCCTGTCAGCAACATACTGAGCAGGAACTGGTGTCCTTCAGTCTTGGCTGTTCCCACAGGTATTTCAAGGGAATGGTGCTGTCAGTATCTCTGTCCCAGCAATTAACACCTATTATGTTATTGTTTCTTGCAGAGGACCAGACGTGATTCCTGAATCTTACATTGCCTATTAATCATGTTTCCCATTATCCCTTTRGAACTCTGAGTCTTATTTACAATACAGTTTATCATGAAACAGGATTGAAGCAACTGTGGTGCCCATAAGGTTTTCAAACATCTGATTGCTTCTATTTAAWTTTTTAAGAATTGGAGAAACCTGGAGTCTCTTGATCTTACTACTGTTAAGAGTCCTTAGTGCTCATTGAAAGATACATTTCCTTATCATCTCATGGGGGTCCCGTGGTTAAATTGAACAGCAAATTTCATTAATGTAAATAGATAATAAAGGTCAMACAAGCCCCTAATAAATACTAGTTTTCAAATTACACTTTAAAATCCTCATATGGAAACTGAAAATAGTTATTGCTGTGCTATTTGCTCAAAGAAAGTCTGAAATAATATCTCTCAAGAGTGAACAATTCWGTTCAGTTTTAACTGAATGTGAAAGTGTAAAACCCATCTTTTATGAGCTTAATCAGCTGCATTTCAGCAGAGAGCAACAATAATAGGCTACAATTCATGCAAAAAGATAATAATGTGGAACAATATTGTTCTGCATTACTGCCTCTCTGGCATGAAGGGTTTTAAATAWTAAAATTTTAAAAGCCAAAAAAATTTGCACACCTGAAGCCAAAGTCTACTCATTTRTGTATCTGCTGAGAAGTGCTGTGTTCCATGTTCATGTTTGTTTCCTCTGCAGAGCAGGCACAGCCATTGCATCATCAAAATATCCATCTGTGGTTGCAACATCTAGTGCACAAAAATGACTGAATTTGGCCATGGGACATTTTTCATTATGTTCCACTTCATATCATCTCCCTGCCCAGTATTTTTCATGCCTATGATGTCCAAACATACTGTCAGATGAATTTTTGGAACATGTCTAGTCMGATGTAGTTGTACCATTAACAATCAATTATGCTTCAATTTTCCWTGATAGCTTTCACTAAAATATATTSCTCCCATCCCTGAAAGTTCAAACCCAGAGCTCTAAATGGAGCTCTGAACAATCTGGTATAGTGAAAGATGTCCCTGCCATGGTAGGGGGGGTTGAAAATAGATGGTTTTTAATGTTCCTTCCAACCCAAACCATTCTATAATTCCATGATTCCATTATTGATATWCTGTATTACCACTTGCCTATTTGCTCATCAGATGCAAGATACTGCAAAGATGTTCTTTTTAACTCATTCTTCCTCATTTCTCCTTGATCTGATCACCAGATCCCAAATTACTTTCTCTATCTAGGTCTTCCTAGATTTTTTTCCCCAGTTTGTRTTCATGGAAATTGACCAAGAATAGAACATCATCCCTCTGTGCCTGTTTCTTGTACATGAAGCAGAAGCAGGTAGTTCTTGCTAGCTTCAAATCAGCCTATATAATGCTTCCTTTGCCTTCAGAACAGAGTTTTTCTAGCTTGTTCTGTCTCCTTTTGTGCCATTCCTGATTTTTAATTGCTCTGTATAAACTTATCTTTCTAGAGAATATTCTCAAAAAGCCTTTTTTTTTTTTTTTTTGTGTAGTTTTTTTTTTTTTTTTTTTTTTTTTTACTGGTGTCCACTGATAAGACTTTTTTTTTTTTTTTTAAATTGCATCAGTTACATTGTGTTGTGATTGTGCCTGATAACTCATAGTATTACAATGAGTTCAGTAAAGTTATGGAAGACTGAAACAACATTTCTGTTTCAGATAACCTGTAAAGTAAGATTTTTTTATCTTTTWATTTATGAAAAATGTTTTCTTTTAGGTTTTATTTACCAAGTATTACAGATCTGGAAGTTAAATTTTACTCAATGTACAGTGTAACATGCTGGGAAGAACTTAYGCATGTTGCCTAATTGTAGAACTTTTTTCTTCTGTAATATCCAGTATTTATGCATGTGAATAGTAAAGACTTAGGTGTTCCTAAAACTACTCCTACTCCACAATTTTGAGTTTCATGCAGACTTGAACAACTATAATGCAGTTTGCAGACTGCATATTATTTCATCATATTATCTGAAAGATAAACATAGTTGTTTTAATTAATCAAAATAACAGCAGTTGAAACAACCATGTAATGTAGGTTCTTGATCATAATTTATAAAATGAGCTGGACATTTTTGAATGAGAAAATGATGTTTCAAGTACGTATTTATATTTCAGAATGAGAAAATGATGTTTCAAGTATGTATTTATAGTTCACAGGAACATTCAAAGTACTCAATGCACCTAATGTTCTTTATATCTGTTATAAGAAATATACTCTCTATGTTTGAAGTAAACAAAACACTCTGAAATTATTTAATATGTAAATGTAACTTGCCACTAAACAGATATTTTCAGTATTTTTTTTTTAGAAAGGTAAAATCTTTTTCTTGACCGTGTTCCTTCCTAACTTAAAATTTTCAGGATATTGGCTGTAGTCTTTCCATAAATTAGATGAAAATACATGGCTTTGACAAGGACTGTAATAGTTTCTACTAACACAAATAATGATTTATCATGCTGGAGTAATTAATATTTGATTTATGAATAAATCCCAAAAGTCTTCAAATTTTTTTTGTCAATAAAATGTGGATTTAATCTGCTTTTTCTTTAAAAAAAATCACATAAGATTGTTGGCATCTTTTATGGATTAATTTTATACTTCTTTGACCATTGAATATCCTAGCTCCTCTAATGCTTCTCCTTAACTAACATTGAAGGAAGGAGGATGCTGAGGCTGAAGCACATGCAAGAAGGAAAAGTAGAAATGTTGTTCTGACACTTTTGATGCAGGATGCATTTGAAAACCAACTGAATTTGCTTGCCAGCATGTTCTTGACAGTGAGAATTATCCTCTGATAGCACAACTGTGGGATGTCAGTGATAGGCTGGCTCAGTATTTACATGAGAAATGCAAAGAGCTTACCACTGCAGCCTGGTTTGGAAGCGTGCAAATCGCAGTGCCACTCACATCTCTGCATACAGTKGTTTAGGGTCAACATTCTAAACACTGCAGGAAATCCAATGGTGATTCTTCTTCGCTTCTTAAAAGATGTTGCAGGTTGGTTGAAGCAGTTTAATGTTATATTGTGGTTTCAGGGCTTTCCAGATCATTCAGATACATTCTATATAGATACCTAGCTGACAGTGTCTGTAATTCAAATATGTGTTTATTCTAGGTATTAAGTATCTGTCATGAATGCACATTTTACATTTACTAGGTTGTCAAAAGCTTTCAGGGTTTATGCTTAAAAAAGAACATTTTTGTTCTAGCAATGGGAGGAATGGATATGTTCCACACAAAATTCTCATTTTATTGGATATTTCTGTGTCAGAAAGCTGGCAATGTTTGTTGTGACTGAGTCCGTGAACTGCAGGGCTAAACAGGAACTCTTCATTTGATCAAGTGTCTCAGACTGGTTTTCTCTTTATTTTTCACCTAGGGATATTGTTGAACATTTTAAGATATATTACTTGAAAAATTATCACAACTGATTTTGTGTACTTGATTTTGCAACTAGGATAAAAGGGTAGAGTAAGGGATGTTTCCAAACCTGTTCCAGACCAAATTTTCATCATTCCTTAAGAAAAGGAACTTGCTTGAAATTTCATGACTTGTGGTTCTGAATTAATGTTATTTTGCGATAAGTACTCTAGTTTGTTTTATACCTTCTAACAAGAAAAAAAAAAAAAGACATAGTAGTTTAGAATTTAAAAATAATTTTGCATGTATTTGCCTCTCCTATATTATAAACAGCAGAATGAACCACAAAGTGACCCCAGAAATATCCCATTATTCAAATGAGCTGGTCAAAGGTTTCAGTCCCTTTACTGCAGGAGATTTTATTCTCTTTTTTGCAAGCATAATTTGGAAGGTAGAATCTGATATATGTGTCTAAATTCCAGGGTTTCTTTGGTTGTTTTTTTTTCTTCTTCTAGTGACTAAGTACTAATCTATTTCTTTATTTATTTTTATAGATAAAAAAAATCAACAGGAATTTTCCCGTAAACCAGCAGGTAAGAAAAATAACATTTGGGTTTTTTAAATTTATAGTTCTAATTCTCATTTGAGCTATCTTTAATTGTGTGTTAGTTGTTCATTATTCTAACTGAGGAATAACTCAGTAGATTTTCTTTAGAGAGTAGCTTGGTGTTTTTATTCTCTCAGCTCAAAGGGAATTGGAGTGTTTTATCAAAGTAAGAACACACCTAATTTTTTTCAAATTAATCTACTTGATGTGGGTGTATATGSCTTTCTTCAGATTGTGTCTTATGAATTTTACTATAAAAGGGGAATRTTATCATTATCCTTTACAGAATTAGCCACAATTTATCAATGTTGCAAAACTCWAAAAAATTATGGTCTTTTGGTGGTTTGTTTTTTCTTTGCCTATTGAAAAATGAAGACATAAAAAGTTAATATTTGTACAACGTTTTGGAGTTTGGCAGTAGCAGAATTTGGAATAAACAAAATCTGACTGGCAKTCTCACATTATTGGAAGGAGCTGGAATGTCTTTCAGATAGAAAGTAGGATTCCTTGAATACAGATTTCTTTTTTTTGTAAAATGTATCATGAGTACAATTGCTGCTGTTCTCGACAGGACCCATGCAATGAAGGGATAGATGTTTTTTTCTTGAAAAATCTCTTCTTCCCACAATTTTTTTAAGGAAGCAAACCTACAGGCAGTTTCTTGTTGCTAGAGACCATAATAAGAGTGGACGACAGCCACACCTCCTCAGAAGGTTCAGGATATCTTTAAGAAAACTGTGTAAACRAATTATGAATAAAAATCATGAGGATAAAGCTCAGTACACTGTAAAGTTAATTAAGGATGTATGTGTTGTGYATGATGATGATTTCCTTTTAAGAAATGTGTGGTAAGGGGAATCAGAGGAATATGATTCATAAGAAGGAAAAAACTATGTGTAGGACTGAGYTGTAAACTCACCTTCAGGAGGACAGTTTTGAGGAAGGAAAGTGCTTTCTCCTCCCTTACACCCCATCTTCAGTTAGTCAGCATATTTCTCAGTTCCCTGTCTCTTGTCCAGTTTTATTTTTATGGARTTGTGCTGAGTGTAACTCACAAAGGAGGCAGATAATTACTGTTTTGTTTTCTCTTTTCTTCATGAGAAGGTCCACAAATCATAGCAAACTAATGGCAATAATAATATTAATACTACTAATATTGCCAATCATAGCTACATGGGTATGTATAAATGAAGCTTCAATAAGTGGGGTCAAAACTTGCGTTTGGACATTTTTGTAATAATTTCTACAATAACAGATGCAGACAGTGGCAAAAAAATGCTTCTATCTCAAAAGAAGGATTAAAACAATGCCTGGTAAAGAAAAAGCAGTCAACTAGCTCCATTTTCACTCTTAGGATTTACTCTGAACTTACCTCTTTGCTTTTATGACTAAAAAAAAAAAAANAAAAAAAAAAAGACAACAGAAACAAAAACAACAGCTATAATATCCCACCAGTCTAACATATAATTCAGGGATCTCTGCCCTTGGCATGTAGGGTCAATTATTAGAATTCCAGTRGAAAGCAAAAATAACTTTCTTAGCTTGAATATCTTTTTGGTCATGTTATGTGTTTGGACAGCCTGCAATTATAATGCATTMATCTCTCATCAGCACCAATCAATATATTCCAAAGGAATAACTATGGAGCACTTCAAGAAACTCAGCCAAAAGGTCAAACTGAAAAGAGAGACTGATTTGATGGGCAGTGAGACTTCAAATCCTGAAAAAGATTTACTGATCTGTGTATGTCAGAAGTTTTAGGGAACATCAAATTCAAAACCGGATCCCCTTTTGGGCTTACCTTATGTAAAGAGGGTTGCACTTTTTTATCATAGAAGAAGTTAGGAAATATCAGTTAATTTAAGTTAAATAGTGAAATAATTTTTTTTGAGTAGAGTCAGTAAAGGCTACAGAGATGTAAGGTTAATTTCTGTCTTCATGTGAAGCAATGGTATGCAGGGAAGGAACAGGATTTTTTACTTGTTATATCAACACATCATTTATCTAAAAATTAAATTACCATCTTGAATATGCTTGTCATCGTGACCTTTTTAAAAGAAAATACATTTTTGTCGAAGAGGTTGAACAGCTAGTTTTAACTTCTTTCTGCAAGCATATCATGAACTTGTCTTCATCCTATTATGCTTTAAAAAAAGAAGTGTGCATATTTAATTTCACTTAACAAATACCCAAAGGTTTTTTATTGAGCATAGCAGGGTAATGGAAGGTTATTTTCACTTAGTATCTTTATACATAGATATGTGGATTTTAATTAGTAAGGTAAAGAGGGAAGGCAAGTTGTCAAACTATAGAGTCAAGCAACTAAACCCTTAGGATTCCTTCATGAAAATATTCTTTATATGAAGGAGACAATAGGGGCAGACAGAGACATTAGCATTACAATGAGGAAACAAATGTACCTGTATAGGTGTGGAAGATGCTGTAACTCCAGCAGTGTTCTCCAAGCATCCCAATGTTGCAGCAAGTTAAAAAGATAAGAGAAGTAGTAATTAGAAAACACTTGTTGACTGCACATAATGTGGCAGCTTTCCTGTAATGCAGTAATTGTGAAAGCAGGATTGTTTGGAAAATTATTGGAAAGATAAGATATGTTAATTAAAATTAGAAAATCAAAGATGATGGGTATTGATAAGACAGTGGTAATTATTTGGACAGCATGAAGCAGTAAGATAATTTGAGACTTGTGTTAGTGCATTTAGTAGTGGTGGAAAGATTATGCAAAAAATGCTGGAAGAGGACCACGCAGACAAAAAAACTATTTTTGAAGAAGTCTGTGGGACAAGAGGGAAATAATGTCCCCCTTCCCTGAGATAACAGTGATGAAAGGAACCCTTGAAAATTATATAATCAGAMAATTGGTTGTGTTTTCTATATTGGTACTATATGCATGGGCTGTATGTAGTAACATTTAAGAGTATAATAGCAAGTAGTTGAGGAAAAAAATACTCAAAATATTCTGCTTATTTCAAATATGTGCTAAAAATGTGATGTTGTAGACAARATTTCCATAAATTCAGAGAAAAAATCACATAGACCTCATAGCAGAGAGGCACAAACATTGGAATATTTCAGGACTTCAGCCAAAGGCTTCTCTATTTCATCAGCCAAGATGGGAGTGGAAACATGAATATGTTTCCTTTTCTTGGAAATCCTCATCTCTGTTCAGCTGTTACAGTGATTACAGCACATGTCAGCTCCTGCCAGAACCATCATTAGGCAGGTGAGTTCTGAAAGGTGCCATTGACTCCCTGCTAACACTTTCCAAATGACAGGAAAATGCACCCTAAGTCAGTAAACTGTAGTGGTGTAATGAGGGCAAACACTGCCCTTTCCTCTTCAGTTCCCAATCTTTGCATTATTCTCCATGAGTTTGTGGATTTGCTGATCTCAGCTGAAAATCGACTTGAGAGCATCTAAAGAAATCAGCATCACACAGTCCTTCTTATAAAGCCCTCTGATCCTTTTCAGGGTGAGAAACCAAATGTAGCCTCCAGCTACTAGAGATTTTACTATACATTATACCTCTCATTTGCTCTYTGGGATTTATTGGGATTTGGCTCTCACTGGTTGCCATGCCAGGAGGATGAAATGGCTACATGTGGCTTAGGTACACAGTGGAATTCAAGGTTTAGATCTAAATCTTAGTCTGGCCTGCAGTTCACCTCTTCCTGTCCCTGTGTGTACAAGTTAGTAAAATGTTCATAAATTGCAGCTGAGAAAATCCTAACTTTCTGGTTCCCAGTTTAACTTATTTCACCCAAGCCAGTGGTACAAAGCAGATTCAGCACTCGGCAAATTTGAGTTGATTTTTCATTTAATTGATAATGCCAATGTTCACACACATATTCACAAATGCAATAATTAAACACTTGCTTCTCCACTACATGGGCAGCAGTCAAWTCTCAAGCTTTCACATGAAACAGACATTAAAATATCATGGCAGAGCAGTGCCTTTAAAACTTTTTTCCCTGTGTTGTATGTCTCATCGCTATCAGGATGAATTCAAAGACCATGACTCTCCACCTTTTACCTATGTTGAATTYACCAAAAAATGGAATGGGGAAGAATGCTATAATCCTTTTAGTTGAACATTATTTCTGTTCTATCCACAGGCAGCATGAGAATTTTTGAAATATTTGTATCTACAGAAGATAAGAAATTTTCATTAAATAATTTTTATTTTAAAAGATAATGAGTCCCTCTAGAATTTCCATGCTTTTTATGGGAAAAGAATTGGTACGTTTCTATTCAAAGTGAGCAGTTTATAATAAGAATCACATGAGAATGAGAAAGAGTGTTGAACTGTGTTTAACTCATTTTTTAAAACAAGATCACGACATAAGGAACTGATGCCACACTAAAGCTAGAAACTGGGGTATAATTGTGCATGTCAGATTCTGCAGTCATCACCCCATTGTTTTGCAGACATTTTGCATTCTTGATGGCCAACAATGGGGTGATAAGATACATTGAAGGCATTCAAAAATATACATGGTTATACCCATTTTCATTTACTTCTTATATAATTTAATRAAAACAACTATACACAGCTGTACCAGATCAGCTATGTAATATCAGCTCATATTCTGCTTTAATAGGGTGTTGTTCAGTTTTATTAAAGTTCTACAGTTAGAACAACCTCATTTAAAATCAATTCCAAAAGTTTGACTCAGTGAGTTTATTTAATAAAACCTAACTTATATGTGCTATATAAAGGTGAGCACCCACAAATGTCATGGTGACTGTCTTGCCTGTCAATCAAGCCAGTGTCCTTTGCTGCAGATGGGTTGCATCTCTATTGCATCTGAAAAGGTGAATTCCACAGCTCAGGTGAACTGACAGGACAACATCTGTTCTACTGATAAACACYTGTATGAAATAGAACATATGCCTTTCTTTTTTTTATTGCTAATTGCAGAGTAATAGCCTGCATTGCTATTAAATTGGTATTTTTAAAATGCAGTG